AAACCGAGACCTGATTATTATGTACTTTCATTGAGGTCCCTGATGAATCAAAACATTTTTTTTCTTTCGTATATTTTAGACCCGTCCTTGCTGAAGATCCGTAGCTCACTGCTCTGATAAATATTGGGATGGACGACGTCTGCCAATATTTTTTTCCGGAGACCTACAGTTCTGCAGTTTGCCCGTAAAAACTTTTTAACCTTGCCCAAAACTTTTTAACGGTTCACTTGAAAAGACAATTCTTTCTGGACCAACATTTTTGTTCTCATGACTTTGACCTTGAGTTTGATCTAACTTTTTAGGTCACCTGAGTCACTCAGGTGACCTATTGCTATCCGTTCTCGTCCGTCGGCGTGCGTCGAGTGTTAACATTTGAACATTTTTAGCTTCTTCTCTGAAACCGCTTAACCAATTTCAACCAAATTTGGCATATAGCATCTATGGGTGAAGGGGAACAAAAATTGTGAATTTCATGGTCCCTGCCCCCCTGGGGCCTAAGGGGTGGGGCTAAAACCACCAAAAATAATGCAATCTTTAAAAATCTTCTTCTTTACTCCAGGACATCAAGCAGTCAAACTGTTGGCATCATTGTAATAAGCAGTGAGCCCTCTACCAAAATTGTGAAATTCATGGCTCCAGGGTCAGGGGTTCTGGCCCCAGGGTGGGGCTATATAGATCATATAGTGAAAGTGCATTATTTCTTTGAAAATCTTCTTCTCTGCTCCTGGGTATTAAATAAAGTAACTAAGTACATAGTTATGAATAGCAAGAGTGCCTCTTCCAAAATTGTGAAATTCATGGCCCCAGGGTCAGGGGTTCTGGTGTTAGGGCGGGGCTCTATTGATTATATAGTGAAAGTGCATTAATTCTTTGAAAATCTTCTTCTCTGCTCCTGGGTATTAAATAAAGTAACTAAGTACATAGTTATGATGAGCAAGAGTGCCTCTTCCGAAATTGTGAAATTCATGGCCCCTGGGTCAGGGGTTCTGGCCCCAGGGTGGGGCTATATAGATCATATAGTGAAAGTGCATTATTTCTTTGAAAATCTTCTTCTCTACTCCTGGGTATTAAATAAAGTAACTAAGTACATAGTTATGATGAGCAGGAGTGCCTCTTCCGAAATTGTGAAATTCATGGCCCCAGGGTCAGGGGTTCTAGTGTTGGGGTGGGGCTCTATTGATTATATAGTGAAAGTGCATTAATTCTTTGAAAATCTTCTTCTCTGCTCCTGGGCATTAAATAAAGTAACTAAGTACATAGTTATGATGAGCAAGAGTGCCTCTTCCGAAATTGTGAAATTCATGGCCCCTGGGTCAGGGGTTCTGGCCCCAGGGTGGGGCTATATAGATCATATAGTGAAAGTGCATTATTTCTTTGAAAATCTTCTTCTCTGCTCCTGGGTATTAAATAAAGTAACTAAGTACATAGTTATGAATAGCAAGAGTGCCTCTTCCAAAATTGTGAAATTCATGGCCCCAGGGTCAGGGGTTCTGGTGTTAGGGCGGGGCTCTATTGATTATATAGTGAAAGTGCATTAATTCTTTGAAAATCTTCTTCTCTGCTCCTGGGCATTAAATAAAGTAACTAAGTACATAGTTATGATGAGCAAGAGTGCCTCTTCCGAAATTGTGAAATTCATGGCCCCTGGGTCAGGGGTTCTGGCCCCAGGGTGGGGCTATATAGATCATATAGTGAAAGTGCATTATTTCTTTGAAAATCTTCTTCTCTGCTCCTGGGTATTAAATAAAGTAACTAAGTACATAGTTATGATGAGCAGGAGTGCCTCTTCCGAAATTGTGAAATTCATGGCCCCAGGGTCAGGGGTTCTAGTGTTAGGGTGGGGCTCTATTGATTATATAGTGAAAGTGCATTAATTCTTTGAAAATCTTCTTCTCTGCTCCTGGGTATTAAATAAAGTAACTAAGTACATAGTTATGATGAGCAAGAGTGCCTCTTCCGAAATTGTGAAATTCATGACCCCTGGGTCAGGAGTTCTGGCCCCAGGGTGGGGCTATATAGATCATATAGTGAAAGTGCATTATTTCTTTGAAAATCTTCTTCTCTGCTCCTGGGTATTAAATAAAGTAACTAAGTACATAGTTATGAAGAGCAAGAGTGCCTCTTCCAAAATTGTGAAATTCACGGCCCCAGGGTCAGGGGTTCTGGCCCCAGGGTGGGGCTATATAGATCATATAGTGAAAGTGCATTAATTCTTTGAAAATCCTCTTCTCTGCTCCTGGGTATTTAATAAAGTACCTAAGTATATAGTTATGAAGAGCAAGAGTGCCTCTTCCAAAATTGTGAAATTCATGGCCCCAGGGTCAGGGGTTCTGGTGTAAGGGCAGGGCTCTATTGATTATATAATGAAAATGCATTAATTCTTTGAAAATCTTCTTCTCTGCTCCTGGGTATTAAATAAAGTAACTAAGTACATAGTTATGAAGAGCAAGAGTGCCTCTTCCAAAATTGTGAAATTCATGGCCCCAGGGTCAGGGGTTCTGGTGTAAGGGTGGGGCTCTATTGATTATGTAATGAAAATGCATTAATTCTTTGAAAATCTTCTTCTCTGCTCCTGGGTATTGAATAAAGTAACTAGGTACATAGTTATGATGAGCAAGAGTGCTTCTACAAAAATTGTGAAATTCATGGCCCCAGGGTCAGGGGTTCTAGTGTTAGGGCGGGGCTCTATTGATTATCTATTGAAAATGCATTACTTCTTTGAAAATCTTCTTCTCTGCTCCTGGGTATTAAATAAAGTAACTAAGTACATAGTTATGATGAGCAAAAGTGCCTTTTCGAAAATTTTGAATTTCATGGCCCCAGGGTCAGGGATTCTGGTGTTAGGGCGGGGCTCTATTGATTATATAGTGAAAATGCATTGATTCTTTGAAAATCGTCTTCTCTGCTACTGGAGATTATTAAAACAAACTAAGTGCATGGTTATGATGCATAAAGATGCCTTTTCAAAAATTGTGAATTTCATGGCCCCAGGGACAGGGGTTCTGGTGTTAGGACGGGACTCTATTGATTATATAGTGAAAATGCATTGATTCTTTGAAAATCTTCTTCTCTGCTACTGGAGATTATTTAAACAAACTAAGTGCATGATTATGATAGGCAAGGATGCCTCTTCCAAAATTTTCAAATATATGGCTTCAGTTTTTGGGGTTCTTGAGGAAGGAGGGGGGGGGGGGCTCTATTGATTATATAGTGAAAAAGTGTTAATTCTTTGAAGTCCATAGGTATGATGATGAGGGTAACTCTTCCAAATTTGTAAATTTCTTGACCCTTGGTCTTGGGTTCTGGTGTTAGGGTAAGGCTTTGTTGAATCTGTAGTGAAAATGCATTGTACCTGTGAAATTCTTCTCTGCTTCTGGGCATATTGGAAGAAAACTGAGTAAAAGTTTAAATGATATAAGTAAGCGTATTTCTACCAGACTTTTGAACATCTGGACCATTTGTCCAAGCATTCTAGTCCTGGGCAGGGCTCTATTAATTTGTATTCTACTGAGAGAAGTTATTCCCCTTTTCCATTCACCTTTGATAATTAATCACTGTAAATAATGTATTTGAAAGGTTAATAGAATAAGATAATTATGCAAGAATGTTTATCATATAATTCAAAAAGTATTTTCTTAGTTTTAATAATCAGGTTGACCTGTAAGTAATAGATAAATAAAAATGAGACAAAAATAACTTATCTTATTAAAAGTTCTTCAAAGACCGTAAGAGAGGTCAATGCTAGAGCTCTTAATATGGGTTTAAAAATAGTACTGAAGCACTAATAGAACTTAATTTATGAGTTGATACTGAATACTAGACTAATTATTTTGTTGATCCTGATCTTCCTACTTCTCTTGCTTTAGGGCAACAAAGCTTCATCTATTAGTGTATTTAACTTCCAAATTGTTGTATTATGCTCAGGTGACCGTTAAGGCCCTTGGGCCTCTTGTGTACATTTCTTATTAAGTATGTCCCACATATCTTAAAGCAGTTATATCATTAGGTTTCTTACCTTATTTAGAGATATTGATTGACAAATATTATGTCCTACAGTATCTAAGTGGAGTTTTAATTCTCCATGTTGCCGGGCTCATTACTCTGTCCATAATTGGATTTTTAAAGCATATATAAAAAATATGTAAGTGAACATGTATCTTTTAAAATATTTCAGAGTATGAATTGGGTTTAAAATTCGAAAAGGCAAGTTTCATCTATCACACTGCATCTGGATAGGGAAAATTACGAACTTTTTAAGACAACTTAAACAACAAAAAAACGTAATTTACAAAAAATCCTATCATTCAATATTTTTAAATTTGCGTTGAAATGCAAGTCCTTCAAATTATTGATTAACTGTAAAAAATTCGAATGGTGAAGCTGACCTCAATATTGCACAGGACATCGTTGAAGACGACATAAGCAGGACAAAAACTTGTCATGTTTACATTTCTCGAGTACGGGAAAAACCAACTATGACGTCACGCCTAAGCTAAATAAGCGAAATAAGATATACCTACATAAGATTTCCATCATCAGCCATGCAAAAATAATTTTTGTGTTCTCCGTTTCTCAAAATACTTCATCATATACTGATTATGACCTGTTTTTACATAATAATACCGCCCTTGTATTCACCGAGTATGATCTTGCTGTACTAGCAGATCGTGTATGACGTCACCGACTTGTTGGACACGCAGTTTAAAGAAACAGAGAAGTGGATCAATCTTTTTTCATAATTTGATAATGTTTACAAGAATGTTAAACTTTTTATTTTTTTAATATAAGATGGTAATTAAAGAAAAAAAGTTGTCAACATTTTTTACAAGAACTGATGCTTTACACGTTTTGCACTTATATAAATGGAGACTATGACGTAGTTTAACAAAGTCATGTGACCATGTGTCCTTCATCCCCTTAAACAACTAAAATCATGATGAATCATTTTGAAAATTTATTTTTACTGTAACAGTGAGTAATGGTGATTTTCATAGACAACCTGCAAGATACCTGATATTTTCCCATTTTTTCAGTGTCCAGCACTCACTTTCCCAGCCAGACGTTAGTCAGGTGGGGGAGATCCACCAGCAAGCCAAGGAGCAAAAGATCAAAACCGCTCATCTCCTAGCTGTCAGCCAGGAACTCGCCAAACAGGTCACCCTCAAATCTCGACAGGCAGCTGGTATGTGTCCCTATCCCAAACCCATGGCTTGATTCTCTGTACTTGGAAGCAAATTGCATGATATTTTGCCAAAATACATAATCTGCATTTTTTTCTTTTTCTATTTCATATATTACTTTATTTTACATAATATCTTATGTGTACATTAGATGTTCCCCCGAATCCAAGGTATATAACAGAAATAGGGCTAGAATTTACCATTTTTAAATACTATACACATTTTTTTTCCATGTTTGTATTTATCAAATGCTCTTATTGCTAACTGTAATAGCTAGACAATAGTGTATCGTTTTAAGAGGAAAGAAGAAAAATTTCTTTGTTACACCATTTACCTATAAGTTTATTTTTATGGGTAATTTTATGGTGCATGTTCAATACTGAGAATTTTTAGCATTAAATTTTGATAATTTATAAAATTTCTTATAGCATCTGCAAATAAATCACATGATGATCGGTATTTTTACAACAGGTAAGGTTGCCATGGTGATAGAACTGTGAATTTGATTGGTTAATTAACACTGGTTGTTGCCTATTGACAGCACAACTGATTTATCCTGCCTGAAATGCAAAAAGAATTCTCAACTCGATAAAAGGATTTAAATTTTTTCTCTGTTATGATTTATCTCTGTAGAAATTTTTGCACCTCTGTAGATTCCATTGGTACTTTATCAAAGGTTTTCTGAATTAAAATCAATAGTTTGTACTTCCTTCATCATTTTATTTGGGGAAAAAAATTGAAAAATGGAATTGATTGATTAAATTTCATCATCATTTCTAAACATTATCATTTGACACTGCAGTGTTGATAATTACACTGGTGTTACCACATTCCTTTACTGGGTACTTTGTAATCTGTGTTTGCAGCTATGTAGTTTTGAATTTCTGATATGTGTCTGATGAATTGTATATGTACCTAATTTTCCATATCCCATGCAAAGTGATTTCAGAATAATATGTCTTTTAATACAAAAATGCAAAGTTTAGCTGTGGAAACTAATATTTTAAGTTAATTGATTTGAAATGTTGATGTAAATGTTAAAGTAAGATATGTTTGAAAATCAATTGGAATAGCATGAATTTTTAACAATGTTTGCCTGTTAAATCTGTTGTGGTTTCTATTAAGTTTGTCTCTAAAAAAGCATGAATTTTAATCCAAGTATTATAGATTAAAGCATGATTCTAACTGATATACATATTAAATATCAATCAAGTTATATACATGTAATATGACTAGGATATGATACAGTATATATTTCTATCTTGACAATAGAGATTGCAGTAATTTTAATACTCTGTATCATTTAAGTTTCAATTATACCCACATTACAATACTTATTGCTTAAACTACATATCTGTATATTCAAAAAAAAAAAAAAAAAAAAAAAAAAAAAAAAAAAAATCAGTGCTGTTTATGAAGATCTGAAGATATTTCTTATTAGAAAAAAAAAGCAAAAAACCTAATTTTCTGGGAAAGTAAGTACTGAAATATTTCAAAAATTAATTTGCATTCTATAGTACTCTAGACTTGTGAATTAAATTATTTCACAATGGTTTGTTCTTGTAGTTGAGAGAGCCAAAAGAAGAAAGACATGGTCTGGGTCCCCAAGTAAAGTCACTGGTCCAATTCTGGACCCAGAAGACCTAGAGGTGGTGCAGACCCTTGGGAGTTCTGAGAACTTGTCAATGTATCACAGAAGACAGGGGAGCTCAGAGTTAATAACACCACACCATCGCAGACAGGAGAACATGTACATGTGATAAAAAGTGACCAATGCCTGGAAAAATTTTTAAAGTGGAATATATTTAACATTCAGTGATGTCTGAACTCTTGAACAATTTGTCTGATGTTACAGAAGAATTTTAGAAGATTTTTCAAACTGATATACATGTAAATGGCAGAATTGGAAGACCCATTCAGTGTGATATTAAAAAACAAATATTTATGCAAGGTTTTTTTTTTAAAGATTTGATTGGACTTTTTTAAAAGATAGAGGCTAATAACAATGATGTTGTGATTTAAAATGTCATGTTTGCAGCAATAATTTATAAATTGTAGTGGATTTATATCTGCTCTGTGATAGAATTCAATGTGTGTACAAGTTAACTCCTATTTGAGGTACATGTATACATGTTCACTAGACATTGTTTTTAATAGTATATTCCTACACTAACAGTGCTACTAAAATTCAAAAATGGAGTGAGTATTTTTGTAAATGTAGATTTAAACCAAGTTTTTGGTTGACCAGTATTAGCAAGCACAGGGCACATAGTATAATTCCTAATCAGAAAAACAGGCTTAAGGTTCAGGACTAATTGTAATGGAATCCAAGATGCTATAGTCGTTTTTCTGAAACAAAGTGTTCATGTTTATATGTTCAAAGGAAAATTTGGAGCAGATGGTCAGAATAAGAAATAATCTCAAAAAAGACAGATTTTAACGGAGCCAAAGAAATGTTTGGAAACTACTGTAAAATCATTTATTTTCATGGGGTTAAATTTTCATGGTTTGAGTTTGAGAAAAAAAAAATATTGGTCGTGGGAATTTGATTTCTTGGTTAAAGAAGGTTCAGTTGTCACATATTTGATATTTTAACATTTCAAGGACGTGAATTCTTGGGTTTCTTCATACCAGGGAAACAGGAAAATTAAATCCCCAGGAAAACTCGTGATTTCACTGTAGTTTTATAAATGTATATTTTTATATGCATCTGTAATTTTGCTTACTGTAGCTTCTGCTTGGTGTAACACGTATATATACTACCTCATTAGCAGCTATTTTTATTGGAGATTATGTTTCAAAGAAATTTATTCAATTTCTACCCAATTTGTTTCAAAAATATCTTTGGGATTTGTTTGTAATTTACATATGTATTAAGATACTGTTCATTTGTAGGTTTATGATTTCTTGTTATAGCATTGGTGCTGTTTGTTTATCTAAATGTTTTCGTTTTTGTCTGCGATAAGATACAAATTCTTTTCTGCAAATTAGAAAACTGTGGTTGTGTGACTACATTCCATCATTTTTTTTAATGGTTTTGCCACATGATCATCTTTGAAACTTGTCTACCATAGGACTGCTTTTCTCAATATATACAATTACATTCCATTGGAATGATATTTACTCTATATAAGATATTTGTTTGTTAATGTTAGTATGTTCATGTATTAAATTTACTAATACTAATAACTAGTTTCTAACTTCTTCATTCAATGTTTACTCCCTGTGTATACAGATGTGGTTGTGAGCTTTGATTTAAGGTCGTTATACATTGATTATTTCCTGTTTTTAGGTCACCTGAGTCACTCAGGTGACCTATTGTTATCCGTTTTTGTCTGTCGTCGTGCGTCGTCCGTCGTGCGTTAACTTTTGAACATTTTCAGCTTCTTCTCTAAAACCGCTCAACCAATTTCAACCAAATTTGGCATATAGCATCTATGGGTAAAGGGGAACAAAAATTGTGAATTTCATGGTCCCTGCCACCCTGGGGCCCCAGGGGTGGGGCTAAAACCACCAAAATTGATGCAATCTTTAAAAATCTTCTTCTTTACTCCTGGACATCAAGCAGTCAAATTGTTGGCATGATTGTAATAAGCATTGGACCCTCTACCTAAATTGTGAAATTCATGGCCCCAGGGTCAGGGGTTCTGGTGCTAGGGTGGGGCTCTATTGATTATATAGTGAAAATGCATTATTTCTTTGAAAATCTTCTTCTCTGCTCCTGGGTATTATTTAAACAAACTAAGTGCATGGTTATGACAAGCAATGATGCCTTTTCCAAAATTGTGAAATTCATGGCCCCTGGGTCAGGGGTTCTGGTGTTAGGGCGGGGCTCTATTGATTGTATAGTGAAAATGCATTATTTCTTTGAAAATCTTCTTCTCTTCTCCTGGGTATTATTTAAACAAACTAAGTGCATGGTTATGACAAGCAATGATGCCTCTTCCAAAATTGTGAAATTCATGGCCCCTGGGTCAGGGGTTCTGGTGTTGGGGGGGGGGGTTCTATTGATTATATAGTGAAAAAGCATGAATTCTTTGAAAACCTTCTTCTCTGCTCCTGGATATTATTTAAACAAACTAAGTGCATGTTTATAACAAGCAATGATGCCTTTTCCAAAATTGTGAAATTCATGGCCCCTGGGTCAGGGGTTCTGGTGTTAGGGCGGGGCTCTATTGATTATATAGTGAAAAAGCATGAACTCTTTGAAAATCTTCTTCTCTGCTCCTGGGTATTATTTAAACAAACTAAGTGCGTGATTATAACAAGCAATGATGCCTTTTCCAAAATTGTGAAATACATGGCCCCTGGGTCAGGGGTTCTGGTGTTAGGGCGGGGCTCTATTGATTATATAGTGAAAAAGCATGAACTCTTTGAAAATCTTCTTCTCTGTTCCTGGGTATTATTTAAACAAACTAAGTGCATGGTTATGACAAGCAATGATGCCTCTTCCAAAATTGTGAAATTCATGGCCCCAGGGTCAGGGGTTCTGGTGCTAGGGTGGGGCTCTATTGATTATATAGTGAAAATGCATTATTTCTTTGAAAATCTTCTTCTCTGCTCCTGGGTATTATTTCAACAAACTAAGTGCATGGTTATGACAAGCAATGATGCCTCTTCCAAAATTGTGAAATTCATGGCCCCTGGGTCTGGGGTTAGGGGGGGGGGGGTGTTTCTATTGATTATAATAGTGAAAAAGCATTATTTCTTCGAAAATCTTCTTCTCTGCTCCTGGATGTTATTTAAACAAACTAAGTGCATGATTATGACAAGCAATGATTGCTTTTTCCAAAATTGTGAAATTCATGGCCGCAGGGTCAGGGGTTCTGGTGTTAGGGCGGGGCTCTATTGATTATATAGTGAAAATGCATTATTTCTTTGAAAGTCTTCTTCTCTGCTTCTGGATATTATTTAAACAAACTAAGTGCATGATTATGACAAGCAATGATGCCTTTTCCAAAATTGTGAAATTCATGGCCCCAGGGTCAGGGGTTCTGGTGTTAGGGCGGGGCTCTATTGATTATATAGTGAAAATGTATTATTTCTTTGAAAATCTTCTTCTCTGCTCCTGGGTATTATTTAAACAAACAAAGTGCATGGTTATGACAAGCAATGATGCCTTTTCCAAAATTGTGAAATTCATGGTCCCTGGGTCAGGGGTTCTGGTGTTGGGGCGAGGCTCTATTGATTATACAGTGAAAATGCATTAATTCATTGAAAATCTTCTTCTCTGCTCCTGGGTATTATTTAAACAAATTAAGTGCATGGTAATGGTGCACAAGGATGCCTTTTCCAAAATTGTGAAATTCATGGCCCCTGGGTCAGGGGTTCTGGTGTTAGGGCGGGGCTCTATTGATTATATAGTGAAAATGCATTAATTCTTTGAAAATCTTCTACTCTGCTACTGGGTATTATTTAAACAAACTAAGCGCATGGTTTTGATGCACAAGGATGCTTTTTCTAAAATTGTGAAATTCATGGCCCCAGGGTTGGGGAGGGGGGGGGGCTCTATTGATTAATATAGTGAAAATGCATTAATTCTTTGAAAATCTTCTTTTCTGCTCCTGGTTATAAAGTAAACTAAGAGTGTAGTTATGATGAACAAGAGTGCTTCTTCATGAATCATAGCCTCTAAGTCAGATGTCTGGTGTAAGGATGGGTCTCTATCGATAATATAGTGAAAATGCATTAATTCTGTTAAATAATCCTGTCTGCTCCTTAGTGTTGAGCAAATAAATAAAGTGCATAGTTATGATGAACAATTGAGCTTCTTACAAAATTTTAATTTTTTTTTTTTTTTTTTTGGGGGGGGGGGCTATATTTGTTTATAAAATGAAAATGTGTTAATTCTTTGAAAATCTTCAACTAAATGCATAGTTATGATGATGATGAGGGTACCTCTACCAAATTTATGAATTTCATGACCCGGGGACATGGGTGTTAGGGTAGGGGTGTGTTAAATCTGTAGTGAAAATGCATTATTTCTTTGAAAATCTTCTCTGCTCCTTGGCATATTGAAGACGAACAGAATTAAAGTTTTAATAAGCAAGGATATTTTTACCAGATTTTTGAAAATCAGGACCATTTGGTAAAGTGTTCTGGTCCTAGTCAGGGCTCATGACCAGATAGACTTGTAAATAATAAATAGATAAAAAAGAGACAAAAATAACTTATTAAATGTTCTTCAAAGACCAAGAGAGGCCAATGTGACAGGTTGCGATGTGGGGTTAAAAGTAGTACAGAGGAACTATTAGTTTGTTAATAGTCTGCATGGTGATAGTGCTAAATGGGGGATAAATTAGAATTTAATGTATGAGTTGTTACTGAATACTAGACTAATTATTTCATTGATTCTGATCATCCTGTTTCTCTTGCTTTTGGGCAACAAAGCTTCATCTATCAGTTTATTTTATACTCTATGGATCCTCTAAATTGTTGTATTATACTCAGGTGACCGTTAAGGCCCTTGGGCCTCTTGTTTAGAACTTTAAATCTATCTATGATTTCTGATCGGTTGTTGCTAGGACTTTTATATTTCAAAATGTCATGAGTATTTCTTGTGAAAAAACATTTCTTTGTGTCCATTATTTTGGACCTCTTGACCTTGACATTGGAGTTTGCCATACTTTTGAAAACTTAGCC